ATAACACGCCTGTAGAAGAGTGACGGTGTGGGTGACTCTCAGATGATGGCTCTTCAGAGTCCATCAGCGCTCTCTCTCTTTCTCTCTCTCTCTCTCTCTCTCTCTCTCTCTCTCTCTCTCTCTCTCTCTCTCTCTCTCTCTCTCTCTCTCTCTCTCTCGCAGACTCTGTACCAGTCCCCTTAAGATGAGCCCAAAGATGTGAGGGCACCCAACAGTGTGCCCCTCTGTAGAAGTTAGGACGGTGTAAAAGCATTTCAAGAAGGAGCAGCGACTCCGTTGCTCAGTTCCATACTGTCTCCCAGGTTCCAGATGTATCTTTGCAGAGCCAGCCCGTATGTAATGGCTGTGATGATGTACCACGCAGCACATTTGAAGCTTTGGGGGCTTGGGTCACTTTTAATCTCCAATAATCACTGGGTATCCTAAAGAGTTTGTGAAGCCCCAACTGCAGTTGCCATATATGCTGGAAATCAAATCTTGTCCTTCTTGTTGTCTTGAGGCAGGGTCTCACTGTGCAGCCCTAGCTGGCCTGGAATTCGCTTTGCCGACCAGGCTGGGCTTGAACCCCCAGAGAACTGCCTTGCCTCTGCCTCTGAGTGCTGGGGTTTACAGGTGTATGCCACACCATGCCTGTCTCTTCTTTCTTTTATTTCTCTCTCACGGGGTTAGGGAGTGGAAATCCAAATTGTGTTTCATCACAGTGGAAGTGTTTTTTTGTCTCTTGTCTGTGTCCTGTTTCTTGCAATGCCAGAAGCCACATGGCTTCTGGAAAACTCCAGGGGACACTCATGAGAGGATGAAGGTGAGAAGACAAAGGAACACAGCCAGTGAGATAGTTCCGTGACTAAAGACACTTGTTACACCAACGCTGATGGGAGAGGACCAACCGTACCCCCAGCGTCACCTGACGGCCACACACACACACATACAAACATCCACACTAAATAATTTTTAATGGCTTCATTTTTATTCTACGTGCATTGGTATTTTGTCTGCATGTATGTCTGTTGGGGCATGTCAGGTGTCCTGGAACTTGAGTTACAGACAGTTGTAAGCTGTCATGTGGGTGCTGGGAATTGAACCCAGGTCCTCTGGATGAGCAGCCAATAGTGCTCTTAACCACTGAGCCGTCTCTCCAACCCCTACTAAGTAAATTTCTTAAGAAGGAGGAAGTCGAGTCTCGTTTGATTATGAAAACGGGTTCCAACATCAGGCTCCTGGAGAGGTCTCAGGGACTTCCTTCCCGGTGGACTCTGCAGACCACGCCTAAGGTGGGAAAACCACTAGAGACCACTGCACGCTGGGCTGGAAGGTTCTCTGTGTAGCGTGAGATACCGACCAGGCAGCCTCAGAGAGGTCATGTCATCTGGCTCCAGCAGTCTTATCTGAATGCTGGGGCTGTGGTTCCTGTTGAGCCTGTCTCACAGGGTCATTTCCAGGCTCAGCCTGTGCCACTGAGGCCTCTCTCCCCAAACTAAAGCTGTGTGTTTCTAAACAGCATCACCAAGGAGACTTTGCCTTTGAAGTATGTGTCACCCCTGATATGTAGGACAGTTATTTTTAAAAATCTGACTTCCTGTCTTTATGCCACTGGCTCTGGGGACACCTCCATGAAACCATTCGTTATTCTCAGTTTACAGGCAAGGTGGTTGAGGCTTGGCTGAGTCGATTGGCCAGGAAACAGGGACTTGTCCCCACTATAGTGACGCTGACACCCTGTTCCCGAGGCATGCTGGCTCTGGGTAGTTTAGCTGGAATTCTTATCTGATGTGGGCTTGCGTTTTTGACATACTGACACATTCAAACAAGGAGATTGCCACTGTCAGCGACTCTCTGCTTAAATAAATTACCCTCCATGTGAGTCACATAGGCTTCGAAGATCTAAAGACACCACACAGGGGAAACCAGTTTAGAACTCCTTGGAGTGCAGATTTTTAGATCAACTGGGTTGCTGGGTGTGGTGGCACACACCTACAATGCTAGCATTTACAAGTGGAGGCAGGAGGATTATGAGTTCCACGACATCCTGGGCTACATAGCAAGCCATCTCAAAACAGCAGATCACCAGTCTGGAATGGTAAATGGCTTCCTTTGTTTTTGTTGTGTTTGCTTTGGCCAAGCTGGCCTTGAACTCCAGATCCCCCTGCCTCTCCTGGGTTCTGGGAACTATAGGCGTGTACAAGCATGCCCAATGGCTCATGTGTTTTGACGGAAGAAGACCTGCCCATCTACCCAAGGCATTTGTCCTTAGGAATTACCTGGTCTTCTCGGATCGTTTTCCAGGGGAAACAGTTTTCTGTGTCCTCAATCCTGAAACAGCCCTACTCCACCTTAGAGGATCCTTTGACTGTGACATAGGTGACAGAGAACTACAGTGAGGTCTTTTCTTGAACTAGGGAACGGAACGGGAAGCACGAGTCTCGCAACCAGCTGTTCAGGCAGTATTTAAGGCAATCTCTAGTTGAGTTAGATCCCATCAGCTCTGCCCCTCCAGCAACCAACCACGCTTAGCTACAGTGCTGTGCCCCAGATGGTACGCAGGTTGGCCTCTCTCTCCCTCCCCTCCTTGATGTAACTAATACAGTAACTGACTGTGCGGTTGATGGAGGTCCAGTTCTGTCGAGCTTGAACCGTTAGGGGGGAGATGGTGGTGGTCTGTCTCAGGGAAGAGGGTAGTAGGCTGCAGGGCTGCCGGCCCCTTCTTGATGCCGATGTTCCCCCGTCGGGCTTTCTCCTGGTTCCAGCGTGGACAGTCACCTTCTCCGAGCTTCCGTCTTGTCCTTTACCCACCCCAGTGGGAGAGTTTCTTCTGCTGAGTTTCAGGAAATCTTCAGAATGAAGTCTCATTAGTTCTGATTCCTTGACCTCTTCCCCCACAATCTCTGTGGCTAGGGCGATGCCTTGCTGATTGGCCAGCCTGGGTCACTTGACCACGCCAGAGTTGCTCCATCAGAGACTGAGCCATTAGGATGGGCAAGTGGGGAAGACTTTGGTTTGTGGGCTCCGATGCGTCGGTACTTTGAGGGAATCATCACCCGAGTAGCCACGCTATCTGGCAAAATTAAAGAACTAGATCACTTTGTCTCGGGAAAGATGAACCTGTTAGCTGGGATATCGCTTGGATGGATATATCTGCTGTGGATGGATGGAGCTGATCACGTAATATCCACCAAGTGTGTAGCTCACTGTTGGGGAAATGTGGTTATCAAACCCGTCGTGCCCCCCCCACCTTCTTGAATGGTCACATTTTTAGTACATTTAATACATTTTAGTACAGTTAGCCAGGCTGGTGAGCCCTGAAGAACTGCCCAAGGCACCTTTAGACTCAACCCTGTGACAGCTTGAGAAGACCCAAATAGGATCAGGTCGTCCCCCCCCCCCCCCAAATCCATCACAAGCTATGATCCCAGCCTCCCAGGGAGGCTAAGGCAGGAGGGTCCTGAGTTCAAGGTCAGCGTGGGCTACAGAGGGAAATCCTTTCTTAAAAAACCTGTTCCTACTATCCTGCCCCAGCGTGGGTGATGACTCACAGCCTCTGGAGCTGGCCGACAGCTTGCAGACAACTCCACAGGCGGATTGCCAGTTCTTGCTTGCCGCTTATGTAACTCAGGGGGCCAGGCTTACGGATGCTATAACGTTCTGGGCATGCTGAGCCTCCTGAGTCTTAGGGATTCCCCATTTTCCTCCAAGAGGGAAGGTTTCAGTTTGGAAGAGTTTTGTGTACCCCACAAAAACTGTGATGACCGCGACACAACTGGGTAGAATCCTGTGTCAGAAGTAGGATTTGGGCTCAGGAGCTCCCAAGGGCAGCAGTGGCCACACCTTCGTGTTCTGGAAGGCCACCGGACCCTCCTTCCAAGCCCATAGCTTGAGATGATGAAGGGTATGAACTAGGAGAACTGAGCCAAGCCTCCTTCAGCTCCAGGAGGCCCTGCAGATTCCGCAGGCATAACACAAGTGTGTTAAGGTTAATTGGAAGGAAGGCCCTTCCCACGTTGCAGACATCTAGCTCCCTTAGATGCCTGTAAATATTGCCTTTCCCTTACCCTTCTCAGCCAAGTAAGCAAGGCCATTGTGTTCTTGGGACACCCCGCACCCCACCCCGTTCCCTTGTCTCTTCCCCCTCGGGCTTCTGGGTAGATCCTACCTGCTCCTTTGAAGACTTTCTAGGAGTCCTCTGCAGTAGCGAGGGTCTCTGCTGAGTTCCACAGCATCCCGCACGATGCTGGTTCTAGAATGGGCACACCCATCAGACTGGAGGTGCCCTAAGGTCAGGGTCCCACGCTAAGCCTGCACTCTAACATTTGAGAGTCCCAGCTCTGTGGGAGTGTGGGAAATGGTGTGTTCGTATGAACTGAAGTCACCAAAGGCGACTGAGGCTTCTTCCCCAGAGGACCAAGAAGGTTTTGACATACACAGGGCCGTTTAACATAAGTCACTAGACACTTTGGGTTTTTTGTTTTTTGTTTTTGTTTGGTTTTTGAAGATGTGGTTTCTCTATGTAACAGTTCTGACTGTCTTGGAATTCGCTCTGTAGACCAGGCTGGCCTCAAACTCACAGAGATCCGCCTGCCTCTGCCTCCCAAGTGCTGTTTACAAGGTTTTAAAATTGCATAAATAAAATACATAAATCACAGGGGTGTGGTGGTTGAATGTCTATTAAACTGAGGTGGCGGGGGCAGGCAGATTTGAGAGTTGGGTGCCATAGTAACACTATTCTGAGTGGACAAGTGAATGAGTGATTGAAAAATGTGACATGTAAGTTGTAGCTAAAGTAAGCGGCAAATATGTTTCCTTCTCGGTCACATGAGCATCCCGAAGCCATTGGCTGGACAGTGGATTCTGGATCCTTCTTAGACTGGCCGACAGGTTTTTCGATGGTGCCAAGCCCTCTGCGATGTGTGAACCCCCTTCCGGGTGCTTCTGGTCGGGTGCAGCAGATGTTTACGGTTTCCTTCCTGAGCCTGATGGTATTTCTTCCATCTTCCCCCACTGGCTAGGATGCACGCCAGAAATTCCGATCTGTCCTGGTCGAGGCCACGGTGAAACTAGACGAGCTGGTGAAGAAAATCGGCAAAGCTGTGGAGGACTCGAAGCCCTACTGGGAGGCGCGCAGGGTGGCAAGGCAGGTAAGGCGGCCCGCAGATGTCTCCTCTGCCCACGCCCCACGCCCCACCCCCCAGCCGCGAAGGCTAGAGAATCACTCGTCCTGCGTGAAATGGCTGTGGCTTTTGTACAGGGATGGCTGCCTTTGGTCAGCTTCCCCATACCCTGCCCTCGTCGGCTCCAATCCAGCGCTTGGCGCCACTGATGATAGGTGTGGGTGCTTCGTGGTTTGGCTGACGGCTCTTGAGTTGGAGAGCTGGACTCGTGGGCGTTGTAAATGTGTCCAGAGCTCGTGCTTCCCTCCTCTCCTGGGGGCTGCCTGAGAGGCCCTGGGCAGAATGACCCCCTGAGAAGAAGCGCTTCTCACTTCCCGATGACGACGATGATGTGCCCGAGTGAGTGTTCAGCGAAGAGGAGCTCTACATCCAGGGAACTTTTACCTATGGCATCAGTGAACAAACAAGTGAATGACGGGCTTGGGGAAGCCACCAGCCAGCCCAACTGCCCCCCACTCCCTAACTTAACATTTCTGCCCCCCTTCATCACTCAAATCCCTCCAGACGTGTCCCTGCTTATGGCTGGGGGAGCAGAGCGGTCTGGCTGGGCTTCATTCAAGTCACACTTGGTGGGTGGGGCCTCATCTGGCTACTGCCACACCTGAGTGGGTTTTAGAGCCTTCCTTCTTTTTTCCTTACCCCCAAATCTCCTTTGGGGCAGGGGGGATAGGAGGGAGCTGTGTTGGGAGGCACCTCATCTTTGCTGGGAAGCAGTGGATTGTGGCTGTATTTCTTCCTTCTCTCCTCTGTTGTCACTAAGCATGACGCTCAACGACCACCGGCTGGCTGCAATGGGCAGATCCAGCATGAGGCTTGAGGGAGCTGGGACTAGAGCTGAGCCTGCAAAGCCCCTCCCTGACCTCTTTCCTGCTTGCTGGGGGGAAGTGGGGGAAGGGGTTAGGGCGCCCCTTCCCTCGGCCCCCAGGGGCCTCGGTCTCTGACTGGAAGGATGTGAAGGCTGACGCAGGCTGGCAGGCAGCGCGTAAACATTTCATTCTGTGGGTGACGGGTCACCTGAGCCTGAGCCAGGGGTGGCAAATGGCCCCGTGACCTTCCTGATGGTAGGAGAGTGTCCACCTCGGCCGCTGCCAAGTGGGGTTCCTGTTTTCTTCCTCTGCCTCGTGTACCCACTCCCTTCCTTTGGATGTTCGCAACCCCTCCCCTGACTTTCCCAGCAAGAGTTGTAGCTGAGAGTCCTGCCAAGCAACACTTCCTCCAAGTATGCACCCTGGGCTTTTGCATCCCATACTTGAAATGCTGGTGGCATTGTGCTTAGGACTGAAATGGAAGGGTGTGTGGCATTGGAGTCCTGGGTGAGCTTGGGTTTCAGGGTAATTTTTTTTTCTGGAAAATTTAGAACTGACTTACTCTCTCCCTCCCCTACTTCCCCCCCCCGTCTTTGTCTCTCTCTCTGTCTCTCTCTGCCTTTTCCCTCATCAAAGGTGGCTTCACATCTCTGGAATGCCTGTTTCCCTCTCCAGCATCATAATTGAATCCCGCAGGCGCAGGGTATTCACAGGGAGAAATACCTTTCCTACAACTTGGCTTTTTCTGTAAAGAGTTTAGAAAGGCATGTAGCCACAGGACCAGCAGAAAATGTAACCTCAAAAGCGTCAGAACTCTGCATTGCCTCGTTCTCAGTGTCAAATTATTTTCCCGACAATAAATCAGGCCATCCTGTGGCCCCTGAGACCAAGTCCGAGTTGTACCAAGAGGAGCGAGACCCATGCCATCTTTTCTGAACTGGGCTGGGGGCAGGGGACTGGCTTTGATTTCTTTGGGGGCTTTGGGGCCTGGGTCCAAGCTTGTTTCCCAGGCTGCTGTGATGTGTCTGCAGTGTCTGTGAGCGTGAGGGTGAGGGCAGTGTGGCCTGTACCTCTGTTTGCTCTGCTCTGTGGCGTCTGATTGCTCCAGCAGTAGTCTTGGACCTGCCATCACTGACAGACCTACCTTTATTTATTTGCTGGGTTTTTTTTGTTTTGTTTTGTTTTGCTTTGTTTCTCTTTTTAAGTTGGTAAAACATATAGAACAAGAAAATTTCCATTTAACCATTTTTAACATTCAGTGGCATTGACATTTACTTTGTTAGGCAACCCAGGCCAACCAGAGCCTTCTCTTCTCCGGTTTACATCCTGTGGCTCTGACTAGACAGTCACTCCCCATTCCTCTGTCCACACAGACCCCCTCAACCCTTCCCTAAGAGCTTGCCCACCCTGGATGTCTCCTAAGTGTCGAGGCATCTTGAAGAATGTTAAGTATTCGTGACTGGCTCATTTCATTTGACGTACATCCCCAGTGTTCATCCCTGGTGTACCACATGTCGGCGTTCCCTTCGTGTGTTCGGTTATTGAGAACAGAGCCTTAACTATATAGAACCAAAGGACTTCAGAGAGCTCTCCCCTGCCTCCTAACCTCCCGAGTGTTGGGATTAAAGATGTGGGCCACCGTGCCTAGCTCCCTTCTTTAAAAAAATTTTTTACATTTATTTATTTTGTGTATATGGGAGTGGGGCATGGCGCCACGGCCCGCACGTGGAGCTCAGAGCGCCACTTGTAGATAGACATCCATCCCCTCCTTCTACGGTGTGGGTTCTGGGGATCAAACTTTAGGTATCCAGGCTTGGTGGCCGGGTCCTTTATTCTCTGTGCCTTCCCGCAGGCCCGCCCTCCCTTTTTAGGGTGAATTGTTATCCTGCTGCATGTATTACCTCTTCGTGTTCATCTGTCAGCGCTGGCAGTCTCGCTATTTTTAAATGGTCAGAGGAGGGCAGAGAGCCCTTTGTGGGGGCAGTGTCAGCACAAAATGACAAGGTCAGAAGCCCAGAGCTGCGCGGTTGGGTGTTTATGGGGCCACATAAGGCCGAGTTCCACATGTAACCTTCTTTCGGGGAGTCGCTAAATGAGGAGACATGGCTTTGGATAGAGGAGAGCTGCCAAAGCTTGGCCTGTGAAGCCAGACCACACGGCTTAGAGTCCCAGGTCTCTTGATGTCTGAGCCTCCCCCTTCTCATAAAAATGGGAGTGGTCTGTCAGTTAGCTTTTGCTACCAACCAAGCCATTTGCGACTTTAGTGGCTTAAAACGCTTACTTAGCTTATGGCGTTGCTAGGTGGTGGTTTTGTCAGTCTTGTGTGTGCACGGTTGGCTGCGAGTGGCTCATCTCGGATGGCCTTATTTTTGTCACACTTGTTTGCTTGTCACCTGGGGTGGCAGGGGTGACTTGTCTCTCATTCAGCAGGACAGACTGGTCCTTTCCGCGGTGTTGGGTTTCAGAGCAGAGAGAGCACGCCCTTCCTAGGTCCCTGCCTCGTTTTATGTTTGTTGGTGTCCTTCTGGTTGACTTACCCTGGTGATTGATGTAGTGTCCTGGAAGCATTTGTTAGAGAATGCATTAATTCTAGATAACCTTTCTGTCAAATATTATATATCTGTGGTGAATCTGCTACTTAAAAAAACAAATACAACAATAGCTAGAAAGCTGGCTCAGCAGTTAAGCACACTTACTGCTTTTGCTAAGGACCCCAGTGGCTCTCAGCACCAACACCTGACAGCTCACAACCCTTGTAACTCCAGCTCCGGAGGATCTGATCTCACACACACACACACACACACACACATACAGGCACGCACACACGCACACACACAGTTAAAAACAATGAAGACAAATCTTTTTCTTAAATACAACAACAATGAAACCGGGCGTTGATAGCGCACACCTTTAATCCCAGCACTCGAGTAAGTTCCAGGCCACCCTGGTCTCCAGGGCGAGTTCCAGGACAGCCTCCAAAGCAATACAGAGAAACCCTATCTCAAAAAACCTAAATAAATAAATAAATAAATAAATAAATAAAAGAAAATACAACAGTGAAAACTAAGCAAAACTAAAGTACCAAATAATCTAGGCTATAATAAGAAACAGACCTTTGCTGACTGGGAGGAGATATGTAAGGCGTGTATACCAAACGGATTCCACAGATGCAGCCGAGCTGTAGCCTCATTGTGTCCCAGCACTTACCAGAGCGAGCGCGTTGGCCAATTCCCTCTTCCTTGGGGTATTGCACCGGTTGACTCACTAACCAACTCAACGGCCAGCAGCTCTGTAACACATACCTGCGTGAAACTCAGCTAAGCACACACCTCTGTCTGCCCCGTGAAGTCTGCCACACTCCTCTGCCCACCAGCCCCAGATTCTCTCCGTCACTGCCCTCTGAGGCTTCTTTAAGTAGCAGGATCGCAAAGAGGACAGAAGACGTAAAAGACATGGTCCCCATACCGTGGAGAGAGGATGCCCGTTTTACTGTTTTACAGGAACAATGGAAGGCAGAGTCGCCCCAGCTTAGAATGTGTCTCGGATGACGTGCTGTTGTCAACTCCCTGCCTGTCTCTCGGTGACCCTGGGAACATCCCAGGCACTGATTGGGGGGGAGGCGGGGGTTACAAGGAAAGCTTAGCAAAAATAGGTTACCTTTGCAGGTGTGGAATCTGTGAGTGGCAGAGATCCGCCTGGGCTTGCTAAGTGAAGATCCAGGGGCTCAGTTGTTAAGTGTGCCGACCACCACGTGGGGAATGGCGCCTCAGCGGGATGCTACCAACCAGGAAAGCCTGGGAGAGCAGCGTGCTCTTGAGGCCTGTGGGGATGGCGGGAGAAGGGAGGTCTGAGGGAGAGAGTGGCGTGGATGTGAACGTGGCTAGGGGTGTCTGCTCAAGGGCCCCGCGCCTGGGGACTGCGGTGTAAGCTCTCAGGGGTGGAGCGTGGAGGTTTGGTAAGAGCGTGCACAAGCTGCAGACCCTCTGGGGTTCGGCAGGGGCCGGCATGCAGGACAGCACTTAGGTTGTGTGGTGTCCCTACGTGAATAGAGCGCCATTTTTCGTCTTGCTTTGAGTCAGGGTTGACTAAGCTGGTCTTCCGTGTGCTGGGAGTATGGGCGTGAACCATCACGCCCGGGTCAGCAGCACCACTAGATTAAGC